TCAAGGCTACCTCGAGCAATAAGAATCTCAAAATTGCATGAACTTTTTGGTTGGTCCAGCGGTATATTTTCACGTCGTGCTATGAGAAATCTGTACAATTCATTTCGCAGCGGGGCGGAGATGGTAAAAAATGCCGTGCGAAACGCTTGACATTTTTGTATCATGTGTCATCAGGGTTTTTGTATCATCAGGGTCGATCCCACCCCAAACAACTGATATGAAAATTTCATTGCATTCAGTGCTCAAATTCCAAACGCCTGAGAGAAAACGCTAACATTCAACATCATCTTTCGGTCAGGTCTTTTAATGAGCCAAAATTATCGACAATAAATTGGGACAATCAATTGGCCTCACTTGACGCAATGTGTTTCTTCCTCACGTTCTCATTCAAGGAACACAAATCGGTCCTGTCATCAGGGATTATCTCTAGATTGTTAGGAATCATGAAATGATGAGATGTAGAACCGTGAGCGCTGATCAGTCTTTTTTAGGATGCGTCACGCATTTCACTTTCAGGATTGAAGTCGTTTCTTTAGTTGGATGCAATTCAAACCGGCTAATAGATTCAGGGCCAGCAGCGTCCAATTCAAGAGTTAGCGTTCCTGTTCTCCAACCTGTCCGTTACTAATTGGTCCATCTCGATGGAATGGGTACCCTTTGCGGGAAATGTGCTGCGTTTGACGCCCTGAGAGCAAGTGTAGTGCTGCAGCGCCAACGGTGCCACTTTCTACTGCGCCATTTCGGTTCAGGCGTATGAAATCATGTCCATAGGTAACATAGAAAAAGGATAAAGCATTTGCCGTTGATCAATCCCTTTTTGGGATGCGGCACGCATTCTACTTCCATTTGTACATTCGTAGTGGCGTTTGAATGCGATGTGGCCTATACAATGACTTGCGGGGGCCAGCCGATGTACAAGTCAGTGTTTTTATCCTCCCAGACAAGTCTGGTACCAATTAACCGACCCCGGAGGGATGGAAGGCTTGGTTGGCCCGGGCGACTCACGACCCAGGATTTGATCCCCGGACCGCTCGCGTGGTAAGCGCGCCACTTGCCACTACACCACTTCCGCCCCATACATATAAGGAAAAAATTGAAACAAGGTTTAGCTCAAAGATACCAAAGGACCAAATTCGGTCTGTAGTTCTTCATTGCTATAATTCTTCAAATAAGTGAGAGCAAGGCACCGCCAAAGTTTCATGTGCCCATTTTTTTTTTCCAGAAAACTGCGAATTCTTGTTGTTTTTTTTTCCATTTTTGAGTTTTTCCTTCTTTGGGAACCCTCCAAAAATGCTTCCATCTGAGATAAAAATGAAAATGTTGCCAGAGCCTCAGTACAACTCGGACAAGCAACCACGCCACTTCCACACCAACTTTGGGCAGCATTGAGCACTTATTGGATGAATTGAAGATTACTATATACTAAAATAATGTGATTCTGATGCACAAGTCCCTCGTCTGTGCAGTATTGCTTCACTAATGCAAGCTCGAATACTATCAAACCAGGAGACGGAGTCACGGAAGTCGGCTTGAGGAAGTAGAAGAAATGAAATCCTCGAACAATGCCCATTCAATCTACGGTCAGTAGAAAAGCCACAAAAAATAACTAGAACCGTGGCCGATTAGACGGCCTGTTGCGAATTAACGCAACAGTAAAGTGGCTAACGACCTCGACGGCGGACAATAGGGTCTTAAAGACGAAGCACTAGACGACCTTGTCGAGCGAGATCGAAAAACTGCGTTCCAGATTTCTCCAATGAAAGAAGTTACTGTAGCGGGCAAAAAGTAGGCCCAGCGAACACCATTTACTCACATTCCTAGTAAACTAGTGCTTGAATTAATTAAGAGGTTCGAAGGAATTCGCTTCTATTAATCATAAATGAATGGTGTAGGACGATGTTGAGGTCGTTACCATCTCCAGTACATGAAGTGGACGTTGCGTGACTAGTTTCAACATCGTTCTACAGTCCTCAGTGTTCCCTCTTACGATGGTATGTGGAGGAAAGTGAAGTTAGGCCATAGAGTGGTCAAAAAAGGCAAAATGACCAACTGCTTCGAGTATAATCCTTGCCTATAATCTATCCTCATAATACATTGGCCAAAAACGCCGCATCACACTTGCTCGGTGCACAGTTCGATCCTGTACGGGACAACGAGGCTACTCAGGCTGGTATAGGGTGGAGTTAACAACACTACTGTCCTATAACTACCGCCTCGCCCAGTTTATTGTAGAGCCCACTGCTCTGTGGTTACTCAATTTTACGTTCCCCAAATGGAAGTCATATGCATGGCGTAGACCAAACAGACAGGGCGGAAGTGGTGTAGTGGCAAGTGGCGCGCTTACCACGCGAGCGGTCCAGGGATGATCAACCTGGGTCGTGAGTCGCCCGGGCCAACCAAGCCTTCCATCCCTCCGGGGTCGGTTAATTGGTACCAGACTTGTCTGGGAGGATAAAAACACTGACTTGTACATCGGCTGGCCCCGCAAGTCGCCACTACAATTCTGAATGGAAGTAGAACTCATGGCGCATGCCGAAACAGGAAAAATCAATGCCGTAGCCTTTCTTATACCTAAGCCTTATTTTTCTCTTGACTTTGGTTGAGTTCTTCTGTACTTCTCTTCCTGCCCCTAGTTCCCTCTACTGACGCACTCATTGTATAAATAAATAAGCAAATAAATAAATAAATATAAACGATGGCCAATCTTTCATTCCACATTGTGATTTCACGTGTTAATAAAGGGAAAATGAAACTCCAACAAATGTCTTACCTTAAAATTATCTAACGCTCTTCAGAAAAACAAATTGAGCTTGTCAAAAGTTCGTAAATTCCGGACTAACAAAAAGATAAACAATCTCAGAGCATAGTTCTATTCGCATTATCAACAACTTAACAATCTATAACTCCTATTCCACTAATACTTACAATATAGTAACATTTGTAATCTTCGGAACAACAGTATTGTCCCAGATCATGTGGCTTGAACATTTCGTCAAGAGCTATGTTTTTCGCTCATCTTCTTCGATGTGGCCGAAAAACGGGGCGCAAACGTCGCAGGTCCAAGATTCCACGCTTCCACCTAATCAAATCATAGCTTGTTATTTTTGCTTAATGTGAATGGCTGCACGCAGCCTTCAATCGAAATGTTTTCCATCACTTGGTAGTTCCTGCATAGAGATCTAGCAAAACTTTGGATCAATTCATCAATAAAGGGTAGATGGTGCCCTGCTCGGGTGGGTTCTCTGGAAGAGGGAATATAGATGAAAGGGAAAACTTCAATTGCAAATAAGGAAATACCTGTTTGATGAATGGCGAGTCAGGAATTTGAAACCTCCGGTGGGGTCAGCATTGAAAACTCCGGGTCGATACACAGTTGAAGTGGTGCTCTCGTATGTTTTTCTCGAAAGGGAACGCCAGCTTTTTCACAAGCCTTTCTAGCCAATAAATTCTGAAGTTAAAAACAAATATCACTTCTACATGAAGAACACAGCATTACCTCTTGGGTGACTCTGTCTTAAAAACCTCTTCCAAAAGTCACCGCAACACTAGATCCCTCCCTCCCTCCCATTTCAGCAGTTTCCGTCTATCCCGCTTTTTCTGAGGATTTTTCCCTTCCCCTATCTTTATCCCGTCACTTTTCTAAGATAATTTTGTTTCCTTCAACCTTTGTATACCATATTATGACCTCCTAGGCCCACCACTTACCCAAACTTCGCCCCGTTTTCGCCACTTTTCACCATGCCGACCATACCTCATTAAGTGAAGAACCTCCGTTTTTTTTAAATCATGCCCCAATTGTTCTTACTTACTCCACAATAACATATTTACTTCGGGCGTTTGGTAGTGCAGCGGCATCTTTGATTTATACCGTACAGTAGCAAAGATTCAAAACTGCGCCTATTTTCAATTTGTGACACAAATCACATAAGAGCGCAGATTTCGCCATTCCTTGACAAGTAATTTTCCCTCTTTTTTCCTCTCTATTATTGACATAACACTAGTAATCGGCTTTTTGTTTATATTAGGTTGGTCCATAAGTCTTGCAACAAATTACATTTAATGCTAGAGAATTTTTGTGAGAACTCCGAAAATTCCGCAACATGTTTGTTGACGTAGCATCCACCTTTGCAATTTCAGCCAACCGTCCAGCTCGTTGTCTCGCTACTTGTTATGGATATTACACCGATTTCGCGAAAGCTCTTCGTGCCCTTTTTTACGAGTACTGCTTGGAATGTTCCGCAAGTCATGCTACACCAAGGATTAGCCAGAAGATGGCGAGGGCACGCTCTCTCAAACCACGGTGCAACGGCGCTTCACTCTGCTCAGCGTTGACTTTTTTATTTGAAATGATCCACACTCCAACCACCCTGTGACTGACAATCACGATGCTCTACCTGACGCTGTTGAAAAGGGATCTGGATAGAGTATCGATCATTTGCTAGAGCGATTCCGATGCGACAAGGAGACAGCACTGTGGCATCTCCAAAGACTTGTGAAGATCCGAAAATAGTTTGGTCCCACGTGCCTTGAGCCCGATTCAGCTCCAAACACGATCTGACACCGTTATGTTCAAGTCGACTTACTAGGATTCTACGATTGACCATCCATCACATTTGCCGAAGATGAGGAGTGGGTACAGTGTGCTAACAAATGAACAAGCGGCGGTAGTCCAGCTCAAACGCTTCGGGAGTTCTTACTGCTTAAGTTCAACCTCGTCCAAGTAGGGCCTTCTCGGATTTTTGGTGGAATACGAGAGGAGTTGAGCTCTGGAAACCCCGTGTAGATGTCGCAGTCAACGCGGAAGTCAACCGTCCACAGCTCGATTGCAACGCTTTCAATACGAAAGAAAAACAAGGCAAAGTTTGCTTTTTTATGACACCGTTGAACCACCTCTTGCTAAGAAAATCAGGAAAATTTTGAGACTCTCGGACGGAGAGTTCTTCCGTATCCACCTTATAGCCCTGACCTCGTGCCAAAGGATGCCCACCTGCTTCCCTCTCCAGAACCATCTCCTAGAGAAGAAAGCTCATCCTAACCATGATGTCAAAATCGACATCTGATCTTTCTTCGATCAGAATTCAGTAGAGTCTACAAGGGAGGCATCGAGCAGCTACTAGTGTGTTGGCAATAGGTTGTAGATATTGATGGTGTGTATATGCTATAGTATAATTTATACGAAGTTATTGGCAAGAGCTTATGGACAACACTAATACATAAGAAGACTTCCAAAGCATATCAAAACAAAAACAAAAGAAGTCGACATCCTCTTTATAAAACGATTGCTCACTCAATGTTGCGACTGGAAGGATTTTGGTGAGTATGTCACTCATAGGGTCCTTACATTCTAGTATAAGTCTGTTCATCATGGTTCTGAATGGTCATATTTTTATTTATTATTACGACGATAGACAGTTAGCGCAGTGCATATTTTGAAGCGACACATTGTCGGCCTGGTACTGGTCACTACTGATTGCAACATTGAACATAAATGACTACGTACTTGTGGATCAATCGCCAATCGGATCGGTTAAGATCGTCTGCGAATTCATAAACTCCAAGATTTCGTCCTCGATAGGTCCACTCTCCCCATACTTTACCGCCAAACAACCATCTGTCCATCGCTGGTTGCGCCTACAACGAAGAGAGTAATTATAAATCCCAATACAAAACAAACAACAAAAGAAACAAACAAAGATGTTAAAGTTTTTGAATGTCATGCCTCACCCGAACGATTTTGATGTACGAAGGCTGCGTTGGCCACTTTCTAGCCCATTCATTCTTGGTAACAATACGTCCAACTCCAAGCTGGAAATTTTGATCCGATTTCATTTCTCAGTAGTACCGTATATAGCATTTCATTTAAGAGGTGATGGTCGCAATGAAGACGAGCGCACCTCGCGCAGCAGTCATCTACTTTTTATGTTTGAGAATACACTAAAAATTAAAGACATAACTATTTATTATAATGAAAAGCTCGTTTAACTATGCTGATCATGACATAAAAAAAAACGTTCACATGTTAGGCCGCAGGTCATGCTTTGCGACCGACTTGCGCTTTTCTTTGCTGCTTGTGTAAGTACGATAGCAAGGTCGCAAACTGTGAACGCGGTCTTTCGCACATTTTTCTGCCGCAAATTAGCCACGTGACCAGATTAGGATTACGGGTTTCGCGAGTTTCCCTGTTTACTGGGGTTTGAAAGTGAGATGCTAATCCTTCAGGAACTATTTTGGAACCATAACTCAATCTTAAAAGTTTTTTCGACGAAAACGCAAAATTCTCGTGAGCAATCGATTATATACTTGGGTTAAAATGTATGAGACACTAATGCTTAGCTGGCACAGAATCTCCCACAAAAATTTCCCCTGCGCATTCACATCATAATTACCAATGAACCGAATGGCGAGAGACATCTCCTGCAAGTGAAGCAAGCGTAACACCACAAATGCTAAGATATATTAAAATTCCATGGAAAACTCAGGGAAGTCTAATCTCAATTTATAAAAGCAACACCTCCAGAAGAGTTGTGTCAAAGAATCTACTCAGCGTCCACGGCTCAAAATTGCGCGACAATGGTGCTAGGGTCTTACAAAGTCAGCTTTTAGCGACTAATTTTCGCATTAAGACGAGTTACGTCGCGCACACCCTATGAACACAACGTGGATTACGGTGTAGCAGCTAATTTAAACACGCGCGGGATAGTTGCGCATCATTATTTTGGTCTTCATCGACGATTTTCTTTGCTTCTTTTTTCATTTTTGCGCTCTTTCTGCAAACGAGGTTATACGAAAACAATGGAGTTATCTTACACTCTATCTATGATTTGGTTTTCCATATCTCTGAGGGCCAAGAATGACAGGACACACTGCCGTAACCAAACGCCTTTCGCACGCCGTCTGCGATCGGCAAGTGAAAACAGCGGACGAAACAAAGAGGAACCGGCGGGATTCATTTGAAGCTCTTCTCTTGTTCTTACTGGCGCAATAGCACCGCAACTGAGACTTCTGATGAGGTACAGTACACCGTTTGAACAAGAGGCCAGCGAATCTCTTACGTGACACAACAAAAAATGCACCTTTACCACTTCTTGTGAGGGTAGAAAACGCTCGCACAACGTTACAATCTACGTAGAGAACAGAGAAAGATCAAGTCAGATTGCAGGATCGATACACCCAGCCACACCCGAAATGCAGGGTCATAAGGTATTAATGCAGCCATGGTTTTTCTCGGGCTTATAAGAAGACATGCTGAGCCTACTTGAAATGCTTTGTCACTGCACCTTCATGTTTCTTGCTCTTCTTATGGGATTTTGAAGGCGCTAAGCTGGTGCATTGATAATGCAGCTCGCTATGCGTATCAGTTGTATGAAAACGCCTAAGACTCAAAAGGGAACATGATCATTGCTCACTAACGAGTTCCAGCTCCAGAAAACTCACAATTCTGCTCGGGCCATTTCAGTAAACGAGTTTAATCGACACTAGATTACCAGTGGGGCCAAGAATAGAACTGTAGAGGTTTCTGGTGCTTTATCTACACCTCTCTTACTTGTAGAATGTGTGCGACCTTTTCATTGTTTATATCGAAAAGTAATGAAAAAATTGTGCTTAACAACAATGTAGGGACTTCTCATCTGGGCAACTATTTTGAAGCAACCCGCCAGAAATTCCTGACCATCCATCGCTTCCAAGGCGAAGAACAACAGAGTAATCGGAAGAAGGATTTAAAAATATGGTAATGAC